GCGGTCGACAGGACGTGGAACCGTTGACAAGGTGGTAGAGCGTTTGACTCAAGCGCTCTGTGGTCAACCAGTCGGGATTTTCATCCTGAGGTGCATGTTTGGCGATGATCACACACAAACCTCGAAAGGCCAATTCTGGTTTTCCTTCTCATTGACGTTGACAGCTCGACTTTTAAGCCCACTTTTTCCCCGAATTTGCGGAAGAACCGGCCTCAATTTTCAATGGTCGTTGAGCGAGTATCGTGCGGCCGATAAATTTCCATCTTTTGTGAAAAATAGTTGGCTCTTAATTGGGGATTTTCCATTGTTTTCTCCCGAAAAGGAACATTACTAACTGACCTGCCTGTAGTCCCATCTGGGTTTTTCAAGCTGCAGCGAGGATTCCCACTTCCAAACGGATTCTACTGAACAAACGGGCTTTACGTTACTTCCCGATTCTAATGATCTGCCGGTTGAAATATCCCACTGGCTGTCACAGAATCCAACATGAATAGTCCACCCACTCGACTTCCTTGATGATTAATACAAGCGCAAAGACTATTTTAAGATAGCTGTTGCAGTCAGATCTCAAAGCAATAGCAACTGATCACGGAAGTTGGCAGTCCTCCTATCGCTAGTCTACTGAACAGTATTAGTGACTGATAATACTGGTGGTATCATTATTTCCATTATTCTTATCACCGGTATTAGCAATATCAGTAAAAATGGTGAAAATAGGAGATATAGTGAGAGTACTTATAGAAGCAGCAGTGAAGGTATTAGGACAGGCATTAATAGGAGTAATGTCGTGAGTAGTAGTTAGAGTCACATCTTGGGTAGAAGAATCAGTAATGGTAGGAGTAGGAGAAACAGCAATAGGAATCATACTAAAGGAGGTAGTAATAGAGGTGTTAGTGGTAGTAGCAGTAGTTGTAACAGCATATGGGTATGCAAGCGTCTGCTATGCCAGGGTGAGCAAATTATAGCCCTCGCAGCCTGGCACGCGCTGGCAGTTCCCCGACGCCTAGTTCCCTGTCGGTAGATGCGCTTGCGCTCCCACATTGTATACAGGTTGTGAGCACGGCGGTCCAGTCATCCTCCTCCTCCTCCTTCTGGCCTGTCGTGGTGGTGACGTTGTTGACTAAAACTCTGGTCATTTGCTGTGTGGACCACAGGGTGTGGAGTGGAGCGCCAAAGTGCGGGCTCGGCCGCGCCATCCACCTGCGTCCTCCTCCGCCTCCGGTCTTCTTGACTTTGTCCTGACACTGGGCTCAGGCGAGGGCGGAGGAGAGAAGGTGGTAGGTGCGACGCAACTCTGTACTCACTAAATCACACGCAAGTCACCGTGCCTGCCTCACCTTGCTGTGGAGCACACGGTGGACATCGTCGGATGCGACGGTCGAACTGCTAGTTGAAGCACCAACCGCAGCAAACGGTAACAGTAGTAGTGGCAGCAGTAGCAGCAGCAATCGTAATGGTGTTATCCCTGCAGTAGACGCGCCTAGCAAGTCTCCATAACGGAGGTGTCCAGGGTATTAGTCGGTCTGGTGACAGCGGACGGCGTCCTGGAGAACCCCAATGCGTGCCATTTTGCCACACCTGGAGACAGGGAAATATTGCCGCCGCCGCCCCTAATGAAGTATTGATCGATGCACTGGGCGACATATTAACACCGCGCTCTGCTTGCGTGGCGTCAGCGTCCGACCCGCTTGAAGGTTCATTGTGTTCGTCGCCGCTTGCTCGACCAACCCGATCGGTAAACCGCGCTCAAGCGCCGACCGCCTGGCTTGTGTAGAATGTTTAGATGCAGCACCGGAGTGAACATGATTTCTTGTCATGCAGACATGAGCTACGCCCCCGAACAATACGTTTGCCCAAACGCTAGTAAAAATACTCAGTGCTCGGAAGTACGCGGATGTGGAAAATAGTTAATTAGTCGGAACGTTCTCGTTTAAAAGTGTCCAGGACATATTTGGCTACGACCTTTTAGATGTTAGTATGCACATCCCACGGCAAGCTCGCAGTATCCTACTAGTAAATGCTGGCAAAGGAAGGCTTATTCATTTTTTTCCGTTTCGGACACTTTCTCGTCCCTAGGTTTTACTCAGCAGGTACGGAAACTCCACCGGCGTTATCGACTATGCTAACCGTATGCTCCACGGCAAGGTGGGATCAGGCACGGTTACTCGCAGGTGAATTAGCTCGTTATGGCAGTAGACTTGCGCTGCATCTACTACACTCTCTCCTCCCCCAACCTGGGCCCAGTGTCAAGATGGAGTCATGAATACCGGAGGTGGAAGAGGGCGCAGGTAGATGGCTCAGCCGAGCCGCATCTAGGCGGTCCAATCCAAACTCCCTGGTCCACAACAAACAATTGACCAGGATTTTAACCAACAACAACAGTGGGGGGCGGCAGGGATCCCAGTTGACGCGACGTGGGCCTGCCACCCCACCTCGAAAGTTGACATTTGTTGTGGTGTACATTC